GGAAAAAATTACTCCAGTGGAAATTAAAATAACGGAAACATAAAAGTTCTACAGATCAGATTCACATTTGGAATTTCTGAAATATTTCACATGTTTTCTCTAGTATCTTTCCAGGACCAATCAGAGAAGTGGAACTCAGAGATTTGACCTTCTTTCATCCACAACTTATGTGGCCACTCTCCCCAAAGATGATGGGGCACCAAGGAATAAGATCCAACATCACTGGAGATGACTGAATACAGGCCTAAAAACCACTTCCCCACTCCCAAAGAGAACCTCTCCTCTTTTCCAGAGTAAAATTCAGCACCTTCTCCCTGAACCTTGTAGCTCAAAGGAGAATCTTTACAGCAAAAAATGAAAATACAGACTTCCTGCAATTTAAAATTTTCTTTGACAACTCAAAAACCTTTACAAATATGTTTTAATTAAATTATTTTACTCTCTTGTTAAAATTGTCCTTTCCAGAGAGGGATCCACTACTATGGAGACAGTGGAGATCCATATTTTCACTTTTCACATTTTCCCTGTTAAAACTTGTCAGATACAAGAACAGCAGAAGTAAATTTCTGTGCCTTTATGGCACACATTAAAACTTTGTAATAAAATAGCGTGGACTTAATTTTGCTTGACCTCATCTTTGTGCTTCTGCCAGAAGGAAAACGAAGCCCATTCCTAAAAGAAACTGACCCCCTCTATGCAGAAGTGTTGCTCCTTAATAAATCAGCTGATGTTAGAGGCTATGCAACCCCTCTCCCAAATCCAGCTTGCCTCTATCTTGTATTACTGATGGTGCTGGTAGAGTTTGCTATTCCCTCTCAAAGAGGCATAAACAGTGTTCATTACTTTCAGAGTCAATTCACTCTTTCTACTAAAGGAAGATGAGGTACTAAATACTTCAAACTTTTTAAAAATGTCATCAAGTAAATAGCTGCACCTTCACTGCAAGGTGACACTCTCAGTCAGACCTGACTTTCTCATCAGCTAGACTGGTGCAGGAAGAAAACTAAGCTGGCAAAAAGATGCTGGAATCAAAGTTGCTGGCTGCTGCTCACTGTGTTCTTTTTATCCCTGCACTTACTTTTATTCTCTGCACTTACATGCATTGCAATCTCCACAAAAGAGTCCTCTGCAGCGTTGTTCAGCTTCACCTGCAGCTCCGAGATGATGGCGAGCAGATCCGCCTTCTCGGCCTGGAGCCGCAGCACCTGGGACTTCAGCTGCCTCGCTGCCTTCTCGGGAGTCAGGGAGCCCTCCTGGGAGAAACGAAACCAGCGTTAGCAACAGAAAGGAAACACCCGCCACGGAGCAGAGAGGCTGACACAGAATAATACTGCCCCACACTGCTGCTTCTCTCTTGAAGTTCACCTAGAACAACCCAGAACAGACTCCTGAGCTATGCTTTGGTCGGCTGGATAGCAAGAAGCGAAACAAGTTATCGCACAATGAGGATCACGCTTCTGCAGGAGGTGGACCTGGATCTTTGGATACAGAGATACAGATAATTACAGAGTACAGATCATTAGGTTGTAGATCTTTGCATGAATCTATGTCTCTCACCACCACAAAATGTCTCAGGCCAGCCCACACTTTCTTCTTTCCATAATTCTTGTCTTTTAATTTTCCACCCCAAATCATTATTTCTCTTTCCCAAATCCACCAAGGATTCTAGGTAGAAAAAAATTATCAGGGAGATTTTATACATGCCCCACTTTCAGTCCTCTCTGTATTCTGTCTGCAAGTAGATATCTCTCCCTATATTTTTGACCATCTTCCACAGTCTTTATTTATGAAGTGTCTATATGTTATGGTTGTCACTGACTGATAAAACTGCAAAGAAACCCTCGAGAATCAAGGCTTACTCTTTGAAGATCTTGGAGATAAGACTATAGAGAGAGACTTTTTTTAACGTTATCAAGTAACGTATTACTCAAGCAAGTTGGATCACTCAACCAATGACAAATGCTCAAGGATCCAAAGTACAACATATTCTGAAGCAGGAAAAAGCAGAATAATGCCCCTACTTCCCTTTAGTGTCTCTTCCTGGCTCCTCTCCTCCTGACTTTGCTTGAAAATCTGGAATATGACTTCTGATTTAGTTTTATGTAAGCAGTACTTACATAATCACATGATCTATAAGGGGGCTAAGAGGTCTTTCTTACTCTTGCAACTTCTGAACTTATTAGCCAATTTCAGTTAACATAACAAAAGACTTCCTATGGAATTCCATAACACTGGCAGTTAGGAGAGAGAGGAGGCTCTATCAGTGACTGTTGAGAAGAAGACTAATACACTGACCCTTTACTGGACAACAGAAAACTCAGGTAGGGCCAGCAGGATACTGGTCCATATTGGTATCCAATATTGGTATCCAGGGCCATCCTGGATACCAATATTCAGATCCTGGATACGAATATTCATCCTTCTGGCAAGCAAGACATAAAGCTGGCAGGAAATGTACATGTATTTCTGAGAAGCCCAGCTTCATAAAATAACTCAGGCCAACACTTACTGTTAAAGCATAAGGATGAAAATGGAGTATGTGGACAAGACTCCACGCCCCCCAGTGTGATGAATGGATATGAATGCTCCAGGCTTCCAGTTTAAAAGCCGATCAATCCAAACAATTCCCAACTTACCATTTCATCTCCTTCTTCTCTTGCTTTTAAGCTCTGAAGCTCTTTCTGTAGCTGTTCATTTTCCATGCATTTGGCTAGCAAACACTGCTTAGCTTCTTTAAATTTTGACTCGTAAAATTCACGTTCTTCTCTCTGCTTCTCTCGCCAGACAGAAAGTTCCTCATACCGGTCCTTCATAGCTTGGTTGTGCAACTTCATGGCTTCTAAATCATAGTCAGAGATAAGACATTGATTCACATCAATACTCTGCCAGTAAAATAGCAGATTTCCTCAACACTAGGCTTAGCAGTCTTCTATATCTAATAGATTAACTTAGGTATAAAACAGGGACCTCCTTCTTAGTGTCCTAAACAGCAAACCAAAGCTACATTTCTTACAGTTCCCTAACTATTATAAAATAGCATTAAATCCATTGCTGAAATCACATATCTACATTCTAAGCCAAGAAGTATAGAGTTTCTTGCCTTGCTGCATGCATTCTTTAAAAGAACAATAACAAAATGAAAATAGTTAATTCTAGAGTGCAGATATTTTTACAGTAGAAGAGTAAGATTCAGTAGAGAAAATGTTCATTCTAGGCCAGTAAATTATTTAATTTAAAAGGATGCAATCAATTTGAAAATCTCAAATATGTCTAAAAATGTTCGTCTTGAGACTTGACTGCAAGCACTGAAAATCATACAATCAATAATTTTAAGCAAAGACAGTTTCCCCTGGCTGAGAAGCATGTGCCAGTCCACTCCAGAATGCTCATGAGATTTTTACAGAGTCAATTAAAATATTTTGGACTTGCTTTTTAGAGCAACAAATGCAAATCTAGTAGCTTGAAAATCTTTTGTACATTATATTTTCAGTAACTTCCATTGCATTCTGATGTTACATTATACACAGCCAACAAGATTTGCAGGAAGAAATTGGATATTGTAAATGAATATTAATCTGGAGAATCATTCTGTAAGGTATAAGTTAGAACAGCTGAAAATATGGTCCTAAAAATGATTCTGTAGGATATAGGACCTTCTAGCAGAATTCCAGAGGTACCTGTGAAGCTACTTTCCTATCAGTGATATCCTTATGACTTCATGGCAGAGAGCTTAGAGCAGATTTCCAGAGGATTCAGATGGGATTTAGATACCACAGCTTAAAATCATAACACCCAAGAAATAATGCAAATTCATGCTCTGTTGCGCTATGAACACCGAGGTCTGTTAGAGGGAATAAAGACAGCTCTTTATTTCACATCAAAATAGCAATTTTTGATGCAGATATAAAGATTTTTCAGCTCACTTCCCCAGGTGCACAGAATTACCATTCCCAAGCAAATAATTCACCCACAAACGGAGCTGTTTTCCCCCTATCCCTCCACACAGCTCCGGTGGGATTTGGCTGGTGCTGGCGCTCACCTTTCAGCTCGTTGTTCTCGGTGATGAGCTCCTTCATCTGCTGCACCATCTCCTCGGGCGTGTAGGTGCTGAGCACAGGGGCGGCCGGGCCGCCCGTGCCGTTGGCCACCCTCCTGCGGGGATCCTCGCCATGCTCGGCCGGGCGGCTCTGCAGCTTGCCCGACATCCCGAGGCGGCCGCAGGCGAGGGCAGCCGAGAGGGTGATCTGCTTTTGGCCAGAGAAGCGCTGAAAAAAAGAAAGAAAGAAAAAAAAAGCAATCATACCTTCAGTGCATCCACATGAGCCGGCTGAGCCCCCTTCTCCTTCCATGACCTGTCAGCCAAGGGACTCGGCTGCCCCTCCGTGGGACTCCAGTGAGTCCCGGGCCACCGATCCCGGGTGCTTTGGGCCTAGCAGGGCCGTGGTTGCCCCACGGGCCGCGTTCCGGCCCCGGGGAGCTCCCATCCCTTTCCCGAGAGGCGCGGAGGCTCCGGGCTCGGCTCCCGGTCACACCTGCTTACCCCGCGCTCCCCATCGGGGCACGACCTGCCGCCCACGGAGTCGCTGTTTAAACGGGGTTTGCAGCAGCAGAAGCAGCCGTCGAGGGCCCCAGCGCCTCTCCCGCAGAGCTGGCTCTGGCCCTGGCTCTGGCTCTGGCTCCGGCTCCAGCTCTGGCTCCAGCCCTCCCTGCTCCCTGGGGCTGGCAGCAGGAGGGTCCCCCATGAAGGGATCCAGTGTCCCCCAGTCACTTGGGGGCCCTGCGGCTCCCTAAGGGCCTTACGCACATGTCTGTAGTGCTCATCATGCCCTCCTGGGAGCATGTTGCATGTAGGAGACACAGAAAAGTCCTGGAATCCGAGCTGGAAAAAAACGGATCACAGGGATGGGGACGCCCAAAGCCCGTAGAGTCTGGAGTGGCATCAGGAAGGTTGATATTTCTCATTGCACAAGTGTTAAAAAGGGACAACAGGTGGAAAACACATCCAGGGAAGCACTTTTCACAGAGTACATAACCTATTTCAGAGATTATTGCCATGGGATTTGGTGGAGGCGAAAAGTTAGGAAGGGATGAGCCACACTCAAGGTATCCAGCCCCACTGCTGGCTGTCAGTGCTGTAGCTGGATGCAATTTCTAGCCTGAAAGGTCCTTAAGGAAGTTTGACAGCTCGTGGTAGGCAGAGCTAGGAATGACGGTTCATTTTAACACATACCTGGTGCCTTTCCTCTGTACCACAGCCACAGTTACGCTGGATACTGGGCTGGAAAGACCCTAGATGGGCTGGTAGGACCCTTGAGTAGCTGTTTGTATGTAACAGATAGCGTCAGTTATGATATATTGCTTTCTTTGCTTTCAGCTTAAAATGTCATTTTACTGAAAATGTTTGCTTTCCACAAGGAGAATATCAGTCTTTGATTAAGTAACTGCAGGGCTTGAAAACAAGCTCTTTAGTTTTGTGAACATTGCTGTGGTGCTTCCTGAAGCTGTGACCTGGCTGCTCTGCAGTGAAGTCGTGTCCTTCTGCGGGCTGCTTTCCCCTGCCACCCTCCAAACACTACAGCCAAAGACTCCTCCGGCATAAAAAACAGGAAGGGTTGGCCCAGTGGAAGGGCTAATCTGACAGGGAGTGATCTATTTATAAGGCTGAAGAGCTTTAGCGTTCCAACTTGGAGAGGCAGGTTGCAATTCACCCTAGAAACGAAACAGAAACCATTTGGGACTGCTTAAGGAGGAAACAGCAAGTCTGACAGCAGGCTGATGCATGCTGAGTCCATAATTTGCGTGCTCTGTTTTCCCCCTTCCTGGAGTATTTTTTTCTGGACCAAAGTCCGTTCTTTTATGCACATGCTTGAGGGTAGTGGGGAGGGTGCGATCTGGGCTGCAGCGTGTTTGGGATTCGTGCTTGACTAGCAGCGTGAGCTTCACTTGCTCAGCATGGGCAAGTGTGGCCTGTGTGGCCTAGTTTGTGTAGAAAACCCACCTTTATGGCCCAGTCTGCCTATTGGCTTTGTAAATTTGACCATGGGCCTTGGAATTAGATTGCTGTTCCCTCCCATCACCACATCCATGGCTGGTATATTAGGCAGGGGTGTGCAGGACTTGGGGAAGTAATAGAGGTAGCTTCTGTGAAGACAAAGGCAGATCTTAGCAGCTCACCATGGATCTTTATTTAAGCTCTGACTGAGCTAAGCTTTGGCACAGGGTAGGATCTTACCATATTTGAAACAAAGGCAAAAGAAGAGCAATAAAAATCTACTGAGTTTTAACTGACAGAGCAATTAAAACAACAACCGTAGGCATTTTTTCCCACAGTAATCTCAGCTCTGATTTTTTGGGGGAATAGACCTTATTAAGAGAGAAAATATCCAAGTTTTGGGAAAGCAATTTAACATTTAAGTGTGTGCCTCACTGCCAGTAAGATCTGTATCTTACAATTCTTTGAAGACATCCAAAAATAAGAACAGTGCTTGTACTTGCAAAATGGAGATGAGCTGCTTGAGAATCAGAGGTAAAATATCTGATTTTGGCTGGAGTGAAACATTTAGCTTTTTAAGAGCTAAAGGAAAATTAAAGTCCTTGTCAATAGGAAAGGAGGGAAATAACCAAAGAGGTTTTGAGGAGAAATAAGAATTTAAATAGTCCAAAATTTCTACATTAAAGGAAAAGTTGCTTCTGTCTAAGGAACATGAAAATGTTTGCAGAAAATTGTTCATTTTATCATGCGTCAGTATTATGGGTATACTAGCAAGTAAAGAATTGTTTGGGTTCACCTAACTTACCTAACTTATTCACATCTTTTTTTTTTTTTCACTTCAGTCTTTCATCACAATTTGATTCCTCTGTTCTGCAGGTCACGCGAGACAGGCTGGAGTGGAACATGTCAACTTCAGAGAAGAAGGAAAGTTCTGTCCTTGCTTTCCAGTGAATGGTCTGAACTGCTAGACTGAATTATGAGTAGCTCATCTATCAGGGCCTGTACTCTATGTAGAGAGGGTAAATATTCGGAGGCAAAGCTTATAGAGGGATAAAATTGTCTAGTTTCCCCCAAGGCACCCCATAACATTTTTTGTGTGTGTGAAAACAGACAACAGTCATCTCCAGGGCTGAGGGTCCAGATTCACAGACAAGTTACTTAAGAAATTCATTTGAGGCAGCTGAGCCACGGAAGCAGTCTTTGTGTGCACTCTTAGGCGTACCATATGTGAGATACTGCAGTTTATCTTAGTCTAAAATGACAGAGGGTTATGCTGAATTACCTTCACCCTGCACTAACAGGTCGGATGCTGTTTTTGAAGGTGTCCAGGACTTGAACTCAGAAAATCAAACAAAGCTGGGGCAAAGGCTTGATATACAGAAAGCCTAGATAAAAAGAACACCTCTTTCTATATATCTCTGCATACATACACAAAGGGCTTAAGTTTTATCCATCTTTTTGCCTTCTATCATGTGGAATTGATACTGCTTCTGACCTTCTTATGTTGACTCTGCTCTTCCAGTCTCTTCCTAGTCCCAAGGTTGCTGTCTTAGAAATTTCTGAGTGATGCTGGTAGCTGCTGGAAATTCCTGATATTGGCCAGGATCCCATAGATACTGCGCGGATGTAGACCCAAGACTGACTTCTTTCATAGGACGCTGTGAATATATAAATATATAAATACTGCAACCACCTGGATTGCTTCCTCTGAGGAAACCAGATTCCTAAAGAGGCTTTGGTTTATTCTATCTACAGAGTGGTCTGCAGCTGCATGGAAGGACAACTACCCTTGAGTAGTACCTGGGCTTCTTGCCAGAATAAATGCTAGAGTGTTTGCTGTGACTTCAGATTTGCTGATTAAGCTTAATTTCCAATTGAAAGGTAATTTAAAAACACTATAAAGATATGTTCCTTGCAGGCTTCCAGCAGATTAACCAGGGGAAAAGGGGTGTTATGAAGTGCATCCAACTTTTACAGTCAGCAGTATTGCATGATGAATGTCACAATAACCTAGAGAGAAGTAAGATTATGAAATGCATTAATTTCCTACAAAAATTAAGTGCTACCATGAAGAAGGCTCAGAGCCAGCTGATAAAAGCTACAGTAAAGAACAGTAAGCCTTAGATTATCATCTATGGTAAAACAACTACAAAAGACCTGAAATGCAGATGTATGATTTGCTGGTAGGTCCAGTTCTGGATTGTCATGGATTTTTTATTATCAGTCCAGTGCCTAACCTCTTTCTATTTATATTCTTATTGCTCATCATTGGAGTTATCAAATGCTAAGTGCAGGGGGGCAAGGGAAGACAGAAGCAGAATAGTATTGAAAAAAGATGCAAGATCTTGGTTTTAGTCTGATAACCCTGTTGTGGGCAGGGATGTCTGTAAGATATGGGGAAAAAATGGTAATGCCAAGGAATGCATCTAACTAATTGCTGTTGGCTCATTCTGCACGGTTAAATAAACAATTTGTCATGTACCACTTTGCCTCCCACATACAACCAAATGGATAACTTATTTTACAACTGCAATTATATAACATCCCAGTGCAGTGATGTAGAGTAAAAATAGTGACTCTGGTGCAACTTTTAGATGATCTAATCTGAAGCTTACCGATATGCAGAGAAAATGTTGCATGGTTTTCCTCTTCAGCATTTTTCTTGCTGAAGTGGATTGCAGTTTGATTGCTTTTGTGCCCAGTTCCTGGAAATCCTTACCATCAGCTCTGGTTTCCTTCATTAGAAATAAATGTATTCTGTTAGCAGTCAAAACATGTCAAAAACATTTTCTCTGACTTCTTTTTCCTAATAAATTCAGTACTGGTGTTCGGAATCAAAATGGCAAAAGCATCCTCATTTATGCTTAGTGCAGCAAAAGCAGCATTCGTGAAAGTGCTCCATGCTATTGCTCAAAGTACATGGCCCTGCATTTGGAAGTCTGATGACAAGATAATTATCTGCCTGTTACTTCTGTTACTTTAGACTTTTTGCTAAGAATAAGAGCAAAAAGATGACTGTGGAATAAATGCAGTTGACAATGTTACAGGATCCTTGTTCAGGCTACCTTCTCCTTCGTTGGCCACTCAACAGATACTGGTTTCCATTTGGGGGGCAGCACATTTCACTCAGCAGCTGCCATGCCAACAGATGTTGCATTTTTGTCTTTATCCCCTTGATGATAAAGAAGAAGGAGGAAAAAAAATGGGTAAATGTGCAGGAAAGGTGAGAACTAAATTGACAGTTCTGTCCTTGTTTTCTCATTCCAATAGATGGCACCAATTCTCTTTCTAGATCATCATCACAGTATAGGGATCATCATCACAGTATAGTAGGGCTCCACAGTATAAGAAGGATGTGGAGCTGCTGGAGAGAGTCCAGTGCAGGGCCACAAGGATGATCAGGGGCCTGGAACATCTGCCCTATGAGGAGAGGCTGAGGGAGCTGGGCCTGTTCAGCCTGGAGAAGAGAAGGCTGAGAAGGGATCCGATCAGTGTCTATAAGTACCTCAAGGGAGGCAGTGAGGAGGATGGTGCTGGCCTCTTTTCAGTGGTGGCCACTGACAGAACTAGAGGTAACGGCCACAAACTGAAGCACCAAAAGTTCCACAGGAACTTAAGGAAAAATTTGTTAACAGCGAACACTGGAACAGGTTGCCAAGAGAGGTTGTGGAGTCTCTTCTGGAGATCTTCAAAACCCACTTGGATGCAGTCCTGTGCCACGTGCTCTAGGTGACCCTGCGTGTGCAGGGG